TCCTTCAGCTGTCCCTCTCCTGCTCTCCGGGTCTCCTGAAGGGCTGCTATGTCGATGTTGAAGCATCCCAGCAGTTGATGGCAGTTCTGCGTTCGGGGCGTTCACTGCCGCTGTTGTCCATCAGAGTCCGTACGTTCCACGTACCGAAGTTCATTTTTCTTTTTTGGCCGCAGGGTGGTGACCCCACTGGACGCGGCAGTCCAGTCAGGGATAAGTGAGGCGGACTATGTTTAGGGCACCTTTTCTAGCCCCCTCCCCGTGTGGGGTGAGCAGAGTGGGTCCTAAAAAGGGCTGCTCAGTCGCGGATACAGCTGCCGAACTACTCAACTGCCTCGGACCTTGAGGTAGAACGACTGAGTCCGTACCCACCGCCCATGTGCCAGTCTGTGACTAGGGGCTTCCAGATTTCACAGTCCTGCTCCCGTCGCCACTCGCTGATCGCCATGGGGCTTTGGTTGGTTTGTTTTTATTTTATTTTATTTTATTTTCTATATGTAAGGCGGCTTACATATAGGCAATTATTTAATGCCTTAGAACACATACAATTCCAATAAACATTACAATTAAATTAAAATTAATACATATTAAACATTATCATGGCATAAGTCAGACCTCCCATCCTTGTGGCTTCCAGGTATTTTGAGCTTTCATTACCCCAAAATGAGTATATTGGCAAGGGAGCTGTAATCCAAAATTTCAGAAAGCTATAGAAGACAAGTACATACTTTCACACAATCTCCGAGTGCCTGGTTTTGATTAAACCTAGGAAGCACAAGAATAAGATCACTAAAGAAACCACTCATCTTTCTCTCACTAGTCACCAGGGGACAAGGATTATTGCTATCAATACAAACCATCTATCAGGGCATCTGTTGCTCGAAGACATTACCACTAATGATTGAATAGGTTCGTAAAGAAATGGGGTCAGCTACCAGACATAAATAATGCACACAGGAACACTGGAAGACTTATGGAGATGTCCTTACTAGTTCAAGATGAAAAACAAGCTCACAGAAGCCCCTTTGATTGGTTGACAAGAGATATATTGCATCCAGACAGCAAAAAAAAAAAACCCGAAACAAAAAACCTTCTCAGGCATGCAGCATGAACAATGCACCATAAGATTCCTTATGACTATTCTGTATCTATATATATAAATTTGTTAGGGGCATCCAACGAGGAAACAAAACTCAAAAACCCCCCAACGAAA